GTCATCAAGAGAAGAAAAGCTTATTGTAAACGCAGACTGGTTCTGTGAAAGGACGTGCGACACCTCTAGGAGGTCATTAATGATTTCGGACGATTTTGATGGTAACTGAGATTCCAAGGAACCTCTACCATCAAGGACAACCTCTGTAGACGGATCTAAGTCGTTACCAATAAGGTGAATGGAGCAGACGCGGGATGAGGTGGGACACCACAGTTTGTGTGAATAGATCAGGTGATGTCTTGCACGTTTTGGTAAGACTGATGATTTTGTTCCATTTCTTGCAAAGGTAACAAGACAGAGACAGCATTTTTTGTGTGAAGATGATCCATTCAAAAGATCATGAAGGGTCAGCAACGGCAGGATATGGGACGGGGAGTCGTCTTCTTCCTCTATTTCCTGGTTCTGCTCGGGTTCAGGTTCAGGCTGATTTTTGTTCCGAAGATACTTCATGTAGCACTTCTGGCAAATAAGTGCTTGTTCCTTTGCTGACATCAATCCTTGTTGCACCAGCGTATCTAGGAGCCATTTATATTGTGGACTATTTACATTGCGTGCACTTCTGTTCTTATTGCCACTACGTTTCTTGAAGTATACTTGACACCCTTCTCCAACACATTTACCCTCCATCTTGAAACAATAACGATTGGTTTATGAAGCGTCGATAAAGTAACAAAATAGCAAGCCACCGATGATTGCTGTAAACAGCTAATACTTAGTAGTTTGGTACAATTATGCGAAAATGTGTGATAAATAACGAACAACTAATTACACAAAATAACAAGACAATATAATAAATCACATTCAATACCTCCAAGAAGCGCAGAATTGATTGATTACTTAGAACAAAATAAAGTATTTCATATGGATAATCTATCTATTCGATGTGGCGTGGTCGGCAGGCACAAAGAAAGTGAGACAAGTCAGGGTCCCAACCCTGACAGAGCCACAACGCTTTGGAGATGGGACAATAAAACAAGGAAAGTGAGACAAGAATAGCTAGCGTCGAGTCAATGATTCCGTAAACGTATAGACAAAGACAAGAAGATACGGATAAATGTACAAGGCCACACGATCAGAAAATTCAGAAGAGGACAACTTGAGATAGAACAGTATTCATGTATCAGGGTGTCCTCAGTGTAAATCTTTATATCGATACTGTTTATTTAGTCGTTACACATCATAAAACTGTCATGAAAATATCCGCTCTGATATTCAATATAAAAGTTTGTATATAATAAGCTATATAATAGGGTTTCAGACAAGGTTGTTACTCATTTCCCCTTTTCTTTCAATTTACAACCACATTCAGGCGGCGATATGAGAACGTTCCACCACATGGAACTAGCTGATTTTTGGTAGACATATGAAACAAGTAAAGCTCTATCCGATTTTCTGATGGAAATTTGCATCCAAAACTATATAACGGGAGAAAATTGCAATTTTATGGCATTTTTCTTCATAATTGTGTCTCTGCAAGTGCATTTTCATCCGATATTTTGTTTTTTATGTTTTATGAATAAACACGATGTTTTGGAAATATTTATCAAAAGAAATTTATACTATGTTGCGAATTACAATTTCGAGATAACCTTCTTTAATTTACGAACTTATGTCTTTGATGCTGAAATTGACAACTTTATAAAAATACATTTTCACTGAAATTATGAAATCTGGGTGTCGGAAAGATATAAAATTATTCTTCGGAAAAGAAAAAAACCAGTAGTTGAGTTAAATAAGAAATTATACGGGGGCAGGCTCCTATGGAGAATTAACATTACTGGAAACAGGCCCTTTAAACAATGAGCACTGTCGTTGTTTATATTTTGTTTATAAATGTATCATCTTAATTGTTGTCCTTTTTTTAGAAAAGTATTGCCAAGTATGGTGTTCTTGTCATTATTGATTTAACAAATCTATAACCATGACAAAACAATTTGTTTCTTGTGCATAATTACAGTTTTAAGCAACGTTACGTTTATCCTTATATGGTCGTGCTTTCCTTGTTTCGGATATTGACGTCTTGAACATTTTGCTCAAGTTTTCTTCGTGGTAGTTTTTGTTCGGTCATTCGAATTTTGACCACATATTTAGAGTTGTAATGTATTCTTTCGAGGTGTTTTTTTACGCGATTTACGGGATTGCCTTAAGCATAATTACATTGTATTATAATGTACTTTTTACGGTGTTATGTTTGTTTTACAAATACAATGCAGTTAAACTTCGATGTTTCGAATTTTACGGGTCCATCGTGGAAAAATCGAAACATCGATACTTCGACTTAAGAATTTCTTCGATATTCTGTATATACTGCAAAGGAGCGACTGTAAAGACCCAAAAATAAAGCAAGATATTCAATTTGAAATATATAGAAATAAGATTAAGTCTATCAAGAAAAATATGTTTATGTATTTATGCACGGTAGTGTGCATGTTTAGATGTTAAAATGACCCAGGAACATCCCAATGTTCTCGTACGGGTACATATAGTTTTACTTCAAAATGTTAGTTGTAATTTTCAACGTTTACCTAACGATTGGACCATGAGTCCGAAACAGCGAAACAGTCGACTCTTAAAAGTTCGATTCATAAATATTAATAGTATAATGAAAGGGAAAAAATCTGGTTTTCGCCGAAAGTTCGTCACATAGAAATATTCGGATCTTTGAAGTTCGATTCATGGAAGTTTTGACTGTAACTAAATTCGTAGTCGGAATTTTGTAATGCTTAGTGAATACATTATCACTTTACACAGTTGTTGTAGCTTACACAAACACGAATTTCAATATTGTTTATACCATTCCATGTACCAACTGTTTATGTGGTAATGTTTGAATGCTTCTAAGTGTTGTCTTATTGCATGGTATTTTAGCCATGCTAAAGACAGAAGTGGTAAGTCTCACAGAACCTGTGAGCTATATAACCAGTGAATGCCAAAGTGTGTACTCCACTAGTCCAGTGGAACTACCAACGATAGAAATGACACTGGCTCCAGATTCGGTTCCTGCGCACACGCGGATGGTGACATTCCATTCGTACTCAAGTGTACCAGCTACAGGAACAGTATCGATTGTTACTAATACAGGTAAGTACATTTATAACTGAAACCACGTCAATCTCAACCGTCAGGTCCGTTGATGTAGTCAGAAGACCATTTCAATTCAACAATCATGTTTGCTGAATCATGTAGTGTCCCTGTCCTCTACCAGGTTTATTGAGCTAGGTAGTATGCGTAAGGTCCAGTTACGGTTGGTGTCAGATGTAGGGAGATAGGTAGTATGCCTAAGGTCCTGTCGGCTGTCAAGTCTAATGAGTAACAGGAAGTGTGCCTTAAGTCAAGTCCTGTTAGCCGACAGGTGAAGTGAGTAAGGTAGTATAACTAAGGTCAAGTTCCGTCAGGTGTACCGGGTCAGTCACTGTGACCTGACAGGTAAAGAGAGTTAAATAGCAGTTGTCAGGTTTAGTGAGTTAGATTCTATGCCCAAGGTCCAGTCCCTGTTAGCTGTCATGTTTAGTAAGCTAGGTAATATACCTAAGATCCAGACCCTGTTAGCTGTCAGGTGTAGCGAGTTAGGTAGTATGCCCAAGGTCCAGTCCCTGTTAGCTGTCATGTTTATAAGTTAGGAAATATACCTAAGATCCAGACCCTGTTAGCTGTCAGGTTTAGTGATGTTAGTAGTATGCCTAAGGTTCAGTCCCTGTTAGCTGTCAGGTTAAGTGAGGTTAGTAGTATGCCTACGATCCAGTCCCTGTTAGCTGTCAGGTCTAGTGAGGTTAGTAGTATGCCTAAGGTCCAGGTCCTGTTACCTGTCAGGTCTAGATTGTTAGGTAGTATGCCTAAGGTCCAGACCATGTAAGCTGTCAGGTCTAGATAGCTAGGTAGTATGCCCAAGGTCCAGTCCCTGTTAGCCGTCAGGTTTCGTGAGTTATATAGTACGCCTAAGGTCCTGTCATTGTGAACTTTAAGTTGTAGTGAGTTAGGTAGTATGCCCAAGGTCCTGTCATTGTGGACTTTAAGGTGTAGTGAGTTAGGTAGTATGTCTAAGGTCCTGTCATTGTGAACTTTAATGTGTAGGGAGTTGGGTGTATGCCTAAGGTCCAGTCCCTGTTATCTGTCAGGTTTAGGTAGAATGCCTTAATTCCTGTCCCTATTAGATTTCAGATGTAATGAGTTAAATAGTATGCCTTACCAGTATCGACCACCTCAAGGGTTCCATCAGACCTTTGTTACCGCAAATATATGCATGCCATTGTCGTAGACAATGTGTTCTCAACCGCAACAAGACGGTACATCATTGTAACATTCAGAAGTGATACGGTGTCTAAAATACACACTTGACTCATCGTGAATTTGAAAATTTACTAAAATTTTCCAAAACGCCTTTAATTTTTGAAATTCACATTATTAAGATTTTTGCGCACTACCTTTTTTACATTAACAGTTGTGAGACAAATCTTTAGTCTTTTGGCCCCTTACATCACTGATGCGTCCCTGGAGGACGAACCAGTTGTATGGCGCAATCAAATTCATCTTTTTGATACTGAATCCATTAAAAGTGTTAATGGTGCAACCACATGTGTGTGCTATTCGTTTAACCTATCATAACATTCCGATCAACTGGAAATCCACAGTTATGCCGATCATAAAGACAAATTCAAGGTCCTAAACGAGGCTGGACAACCTTTAAGAGATAAAAAATCCTTGTTGAAGTCCACAATAGTTGCTTTTGAAAGAAGAATCGGAGGTGTCTTGGGCGATACGGACATCCTCAGATTTTCGTTATTGTGTGAAGAGATGAAACATCTCCTTTTGCTTTACTAGGAGATTGATATACATAGTTTTCATACAGTGTGTTTATGTCTTTAGTGACTTTACTCTTGTTGTTGTTCTTCCCACTAACATGATTAACTATTAATATTGTCTTTCACCATTTTGAAAACAGTAATGGTATCAATCATCCTATTATTTGAGAAGTTACTGTTTTCTAGTGCAGACATTTGAAGTCATTGTACCGAAACTGTGATATTTCACATGCCATTTAGTTTTAGGAGCCGCATTGCAGAACCTTTCTTACGATATTAAGCATATGGAGCCAACTAATATGAGTAACCTGACAACGTTCTGCAAACAACTACTTCATTACGTTTCGGAGAACCCCGACCACGTGTTTACAGATCTCGTAAGACTTTATATTCTGTTTTGAAAGAGTGTAAGGTAAAACTCTGACAATTTTTCACCAGGGTTATTAGCCGTTTTAACTTTCAAAAAATCACCCTGTGTTCATTCTGTACTGTTTTACTATCTCATCTTAGATATTTTTAATATAACTATGAGATGCATGCTAATTGAGACGGCGATGAGAGTCCTACTGATATGTTTAAGAATGAAAAAGGCAAAAATTATATGAGGTTAAAAATATCCCGTTGTATAGCTTTGTATGCAAAATTGCATAAGAGAACATTACATTTTACAGTATTTTACAATATTCTATTTGACCTTGATATATAATACGATATTGCATGTAACAGTGTGTAGTGTTTATTTTATTGTGTTTTCATTCATATTTAGATAATGCATTAGTAATAATAGTTGGTCGAGAGGCGCTGTGGTAAGCTCGAGCGCCTTTCACCAAGATGGCAAGGATTCGATATCCAGATCCGAGGTGAAAAGGTATGGGGTAATTTGCCCGACCAGATGGGTTTTTCCCGGGGAACTCCGGTTCCTCCATCATCATAACATACCACGCGCTTACATCCGGGCCAACTTTTAGTTCATAGCTGTATACAGTAGAAGTTATTGAGAGCTTTGTTTTTAACCAGTAAAATTTCCAAAATGCAGAGTTCGATTATAGACAGGCTGATATTTTGTTTGTGTTGGTATCAAACTGTAACGATATTGTTTTAAGTAACATAGTTTGTGTTGTATCCTCGTGACAAAATTAAATTACAAAATTTGAATTTAACAAACAAAAATGCCACAAGGATGTCTTTAACAAGATTGTTCGGAACTATATTGCAATTCGTACGTCTAATCTGCAATAAACAAACTGTTTGAATACGCTATTTTAGATTTCATCTATGACTTTGAAATCGGGATTATAGTTGAGCAAATTAAGTGATATTGTAAACAATTATGTGTGTGACTTCATGTTTTTTTCGCTGATACAATGATATTAAATAGCATATGATTCTGACCTGTTAATGGACGTTAAACAAAATTTAACCAAACCAAAACTAAAATAAAAAACATATTTTATTTGATTCTGAAATTACGCATGATCTATTTTATCGAATTTATTAATGCGTTCACGTTCTTTCATAGGAGGATGACTTTTGAATTATTTAAAATATGTGTGCTCCATTCATTTTCAATGTCTCTGTATTAGCCATGATAGAAAAAAAACTCTTTTAAAGAGGTTTTGTACAGAAATGAGCACAATGCCTTCAACACAAATGTTACAAGATCCTTTATTTGGCACAGACTACGAATACACTCTGTCTAGTACATTATGCTAGATTCCAAAGTAAAATACTTTTTTTTTCTACTATTGCTACTAAGCAATGGTTTGAAATCGATACTGTCAGGATATCCCCCAAAGTTAGCAAACATCATTGTAGCGTTTTACAAATGAAATACATATACACTGTTCGTTCTCCCCGTTTGGAAATTTCAACGATAGAATGCATATAAGGTTTATTGATTTTACAACAATTATGAAAAAAGTTAATTTATCTTATATTAATAACTTTTGTTGGCCCGGATGTTAGAGTGGGAGGGTCTTAAAGTAGGAGGAAACCAGAGTACCTGGAGAAAACCCACGTGATCAGACAGATGAACCATACCTTTGCACGTCCGATCAGGTAATCAAACCCCGTTCGTTTTGGCAAAAGGTAAGTGCGCGCGCTATTCATTGCGCCACCCAACCACCTTTAAGAATATCATCTTTATTTTTAAACATAGAGCGGGATAGTAGATGTCGAAAATCAAATAACAAAACAGATGGAGTCATTGCCAGCAGGTGACCTCGATATGAGCACAACGGTTTCTTGTAAGTATAAAGGCTAAACACGTGTAATATGAAAGTATGGTGGTAACTTATATAATTATTTCATGGATGCAGTACATGTTGTTTTTTTTTGTTAAAATGGAAGCTGTACACATATTTGTTGTGTTCATAGATATTGGGGCTTAGTGAATGTTTTTCAGTGATTTGGAGTCGAGACAAGGGTCATTTGCACACTTTGTTTGGCGAAGAAAGCAGACGTTTTCAAAGGCCCGAGGAATAAGTTTCAGCAAACATTTATGCTCAAAACAAAATAAACATTACATATTGGTTGTAGCTTTAATGTAGAGCCAGTATTTAGTGATAGTATGACGTAGTACTGGTATTGATGGTAGAACAAGGACATTAAAAGTGTTGATTGTAAATATGGGAATATAAAGAGTGTCGGTTTTAAACTTATGGTAAAAAGGGACATGTGTCACATTTCTAGATATCGTATACTCAAACTAAGACCATGTTTGGAAAGATCAGACAAAAGCACGGTATAGTATAAGAATACCTCAAATTGAACGATTCATGTGACACCTTCACGGCAAGTTTGTACAACAGTTATTATGTTCTTGGGTTGGTGTAATTTGCCTATGGCAAGATAGCCAGTCAGTCAAACAAAGTTTTGACGCGTAATAAAATGTAACGTCATAATGTCATCATCTGAGTGTGACGTCATAAAAATCCATGTCACTGAGTGCACCTAAGTGTTATAAACCCTTAATTGGTGTTCCACGTGAGACACATACGCAGCGGTGGGGTGTTTTGGTCTCTCTAACTGAGGGTTATATATTTATTTTTGTGTACCCATCTTTAAAACGTCATGCATTGTGTTCATCGTGAGTTTGATTTGGAGCCAGTACCTACAATGCGTTGTGGAAAGGTAGTTTGTGGTTTCGATTTTCGTACATAAACTTATTGATGTAATGTTTGCTTCATTGGTTTATAAAATAAATATACATGTTTGTTTTTTCCTGATTTGCTCTTTTCAGTGTATCTTTCCATCTTGAACCACGTGTACAATTTCCAAACGAATAGTGGCCGTCGACAACATAACCAAACGGTAGGCATTAAGATACAATTAAAATAGATATTAATCGACAAATGGATTATCATCCTATTGCCATGAAGTTATGGTGTGGACAACGATATACGCCAGTGCGTTTAGCGCCGGGGTATATGTATACTTTCCCGAAAAACATGTATCATATGTGCAACGATGGACAACTACACATATTATGATATTATGTTATTTGTCAACACCTCAAAATTATAAAATTTCGCCTTTTCACATTTGATAATTAAGTTTATTATGTAGTTTATTAATTTCCACTGGAATGATAAATTAGCCCTCGTTAGGGGGGGGGGGGGGGGGGGGGGGGGGGAAANAACTGCAACGAAAATTGCCAGGTACACAGTACTTATTTAACACACTTAAAATGTTGTCAGTTTTAGGAAGGCATGGTATACTATTTACAAACAAATAATTATATGTCAATTGATTTGGTGTTAAATACACTGAAACCTCGATATAATGTCCCTCGTTTTTATTTGCCATCTCGTTTATCGCCAACATTTTTAATGTCCCTTTTCTTGTTTTCTGATTAATTCCTGCATACATTTTCGTTAATCTATTGCCAAACCCGTTTCAAACCCCATCATATATCTTGGTAATTGAAGTAATTGAATGTTCCCTTTAATGAAGTAAGACCTTTTGTTTCAAATTGATCAAACCACAAAATGACATTACTTTTTTTTCTTTGAATGTGTTAATTAATTGATGAAGCTTGAGTAAAAATACACTTTCATCGTAACGCATTTTAATTAAACGGGTATAATGGCATAAATATACAATAAGCGTTGATTGTCAATGATGATGTCGCATTATATTTAAATCAAATCAAGATGTAATAAAACAATTATGGTGTTACACAGCTATCATACCCTGTCTCCGGCACACATACACAAATGCGCGTATACACAACATACTTGGAGGCACGTACTTGGATGCCCTTAGTTGTTAGTAGGAGGCTTAACCCTATAAATAAAACAAAACAACCCTATCATACTACATAGTTTACACATACCATGCGGAAAATAAACAAAATGTTTATTTCGTTAACGAGACACCTACATGACATTTTGTTACAGTAGAGACACTTTTGTATATTGTAATAACTAGAATATATATATATGTATATATTTGTTTTAGCCCAAGTTACTGGAACTTCAGGATAGTCTTATCAGATTGTCAAAACTTAACCTGAAACTACAGAATATCAGTAAAACGTTTGAACTCAACATGACATCCGTGTCAATAACGGTAGGAGACGGAGGAGCGTTACAAGAAAAGTATACAACAGCATATGGCAGGGTCATACTAGAAAACATCGAGAACTTGAGACAGAACCTTGCCAGTCAGAAACTGATGATTATGGTAGGTAACAATGGAGAATTTAATGTAATTTATTTTTCTTTGTCAGTGCAATGCAAACCTGAAGCAGAAATATATATCATATACATATCATTTATTACGGCGGACTTGCAAGAACACAGGACGTAGGGATGCATAGTAAATGTTTGTGATACTGCAACGGTTTTATAGTGTTAATTAGAATAAAAAGACAACGTATTTTCACATGCAGTGATTAATTTCGAAATTGTATTTGACATATTTTTATGTATTGCTTTCTAAAATTGAATACTACAAAACTGCATTGGTTAACATGATTAAGGTTGATCTATACTTTTAAGTTTTTAAGAATTGTTTTTCTAATGCTAATCGTGGAAGCATGACTATGGCAAACATTTAACATATTTAGGACGGTTACATAAGAAGTTGTCCTTGTAGAGAATGGTGACAAGCGTGCCAGGCAGACTATAAGGACAATATGTGCCCTTTTTTAGCCGACGAATTCTTGTTTTTTTATTTAATACACTAATTTTGACTGGTTACTAAGGCTTTGCCTGGTGTTTATATTTCACCTATAGGTACATCGACAAAATGAAAGTGCGGGTTTACTTTTCTCTTTGTGATGCCGTTTCTCATAAACTAAATGTCTAATGAGTTTGGAATTTCATAATTGTGTACTTCATTTACTCCAGGTTACGAATATAACAACTAATTGTATATCCCAGAAGGGGCCGTGAATGACCCTTAACGTCAATACCTTTATAGCCCACATCGATCCTTTATACCCTCTTAATCGATAAAATGGCAAATTGGCAAAAAGGCCCATCAAGCTGTCACCAACATTTTTTAATTCTTTGTGAAGTTTTTTAGTCCCCCACAGGTTCGCGGGGTGGGGGGGGTGGGGGGGGGCGTTTAGGTTTGCACTCCGTACGTCCATCCTTCCTTCCGTCCTTCCGTCCGAGAAGATTGTCTGGGATATGTATTCCTTTCTATTTCACCTGAAGTAACCAGATTTGGTGTACAAGGACATCTTCAGATGGCGGAGTGCAGAGTGCAAGAAGCAGGTCACTATGACATCACTGTACATTGACCTTTGACCTTAACTTTTGGAAATGTTTGTCTGCAGCATATCTTCGGTACTCTTTCACATGGAGAAACCAGATTTGGTATACAAAGACATCTTGAGATGACGGAGTGCAGAGTGCAAGATATAGGTAACTCTGACCTATGACTTGACCTTTGATTTTAACTTTTAAAAAGTTTGTCCGGTGCATCTCTCCTATACTATTTCACCTGAAGTATCCATATTTGGTTTACAAGGACATTTTTGGATGGCGGAGTACAGAGTGCAAGAATTAGGAGGTTCCTGTAACCTATGACTTGACCTTTGACTTTTACTTTTGAAAACAAAATTATCCTGGCCATATGTGCTATACTATTTCACCTGGAGTAACTCGATTTGGTTTACAAGGACATTTTGGCGGAGTGCAAGAAGTATATTTCAGGATATTTTCCTAACGGTAGGTACATCCTGACATAAGTGTACTGTTTGTTAAATATAGAAATCATTTACGGTGGGGGATAATGGATTGCCTTGCAATACTTTGCTTTGTTTAATATGCTGTACTGGGTGCCCTTGGCATGGCATTTTAGTGAGATAGCACTATGAAAGTCGGTATCAGATCCGCGCTATCACAAGAAGGCAATCACCCAACATACCCTGTCTCCGGCATACACACAAACATGGAGGCACGTCCTTAGATTACCTTAGCTGTTGATAAGGCGTTAAAGCTGTACAAACAACAAACCAGCTTTGATTAACTTATACATATAATTTATTACAGGTTATATCGTACAAAGAGAATCTGTTCTGCCGCTCACAAACACCTGATCACATCAATATCCCCGTCATGACAACAGTTGCTTTCGACGATGACGGACGAAACCTGTCAGATGTTAACTTCTTAATGGGGTTTCCTGTTTCATCTAATCTCGACACTGCCAATAGCTCTTTAGACATGAAATTCAATGGGACTCACTATATGGCAGCTTTCCCCGGAGGATTTTTCAACAGTGCTTCTGCTTTGGTGTCTGCTGACATCTCGATGATGGAATCCTGTGAGATCTATGGCAAATATGGAACTACGTCACCGACTTATAAAGACTTTGATTTCTATCTTCAAACGAATGGATTGATTTCAGTAACAAAATATCGACCATACAACTTCTTGTTCTCATTTGTAGAAGGAATTGTACAGTTGCCAATAACCCAAACACCAGTCATTATCATAGCCCAGTGTCAAGGTAGGTGGCACCTTTGCGTCAGAAACTGGTCGACATTTTAGTCATCACCACTTAATGACTAATTTCGGGGAAGATCGCCTAACGTCATACATATTTTGAACAAGGACATAACACCATATTCACAATTATCACGATTTTAGGGCGGTAAGGTTTCACCTAATTTTAGAATGCTTAAACCGAAGCAAAAGGCTAAACAAAGATAATATTACTCTTCAATATAGTCCTTTCGTCCGATTTAAACTCGTCACTTGTTCAGGATAAGTGTCGTCAATAACGTTGAGGACAATTACCCTCCCTGGAGGCATAGTCATGTTCTGCCTGTAGTCTTGCAAAGGTCGTTGTGTGAATATTTCCTTTGGTAATATGGTGCCATTGTTTTTACCGTTTTTGAGGTTTGAATAATGATTTTCTGAAACAAATAAACAACGATACCCGCCATAAAAATCAAGGAGATAACTTCCCATTAGCAAACACTTCGTTTTCCCTCATAAGGAATATCAATAGCAATGTAAAGTGCATAAAAAATGTAACAATTTCGATAATGATATCTGCCAATTGTTAAAAGATCCTTATTATTACACCACAATATGTTCTTCAGGGTTTATTGTGATAAAAATAACCCTGAAAACATAGTGTGATAAAATAGTAATTGGTCAATGCACTACTATCATATGTATAAAGGTTCTGATATCAGCATATTGCAAAAAAAAAATTAATATAACGAGCATATGTTCATCTTTATTTATTTATTTTATAGCGGGTGAAAATACAAAACAAGGAGGCGTTCCATATCTGCAAATACACAAAGTGTTATCTCAAGTAATAGAAGGGCAGGCGAGTTGTTGGAAATCAAGCAAGAGCCTTCAGGTATATAACAAACCGTTAATTAATTGTTCTTGAATGCTTTGTGTAATACACGTGATATGTTATCATACAGGATTTTGGGTTTGTACAAATTCTGCCTGAAGATTTTACGTATTTGATATCCTTTACCTTTTCATCATAGCACATTTCAAACAGATTTTCTCAATTAAGTTTTGTTATCCAATGCATGATCTCAAGAGGCGACTAAAGACTCCCTGCAAAATTATCCCTTTAAGTCATAAATTATATCATAAATTCTACAAATAACAACCGCCCTTCTTTTGTCTCCTGTTACCAATCGGTTTGATCTGCACGTGTTCCTTTTTTAGTCTAAGAGCCTGTCAAGAAAAATTATATGACTGTCAAATGCTTTTGGTATAATCCGAACTTAACTAGGAAATATTGAAAGAAGAACCAAATCAAACCAAACGTAATGTGCAGTATTATCACAGGAGAGACATTTTGCTTGTTGCAGCTGGCTGGGGGGAGAAAATCCGAGATTACTTTGAAGTCATTCTTCTTCGGTACATTCTCAGCGAGCATAAAGTTGATACCACCAGATGAGATAGATTTCCAGGCGGTCTTTCTGAATTTTTCTGAAAAGCTGAATGACACACCATATGTCTTGGCAACAGTACTAGCAGTACTTATCGCCCTTGTCATCGCAACACCATTACTGCGTAAACAGGATTGCATCGACTACGCTCTGGTACATATATGTTTAATAGTTATTGTCAATATAATGTTAAAATTTTGTCGCATCTATAAGTGATGATTCTTTTCCTAAGACTAGGAATGAATGCTGGAATTATGCACCTTTTTGAAACGTAATACTATGTGTTTGTTCACAGTGGTCATATGAGCGTTTGATTGATAACAAACCCGATTCGACCTTCGATTATTATATCTGTGTATCCACTGGAGTCAGGTCAAAGAGGCAAATGGAGGCATTGGTTTATATCAATATTATCGGAACCAGAGGCGAGACCGGGGCACGCCTATTGGCAGGAAACAACAGAAAGGTATTAGATATGTGGTTGATTCTGGGAAAACGGCTGTTTGCTCAAGAATAATAAAACCGTTGCCGTCGTTCCCCTTAAAGCCTCATGTCTAAAATTGTATAATTAGGATTTTATACATTCTTCAGTGTATTATTTTTGTAAACTTTTTTGTATTACATGTAGTAAAATAGTTTGTCTTTGGTCTCAATTGAGCTAAGGACGATGATTATCAAACTTTAAAATATCTTTTGTCATTCAAATCATTGATGGCTCCGATAGTTGATCCGTTTGATGACAAATGAAACATATCTGGGGAGTCCTTTTAGTTTTCTTCTCTGACAAAAGTTAATTTTGACAACTTCACGTTGTAAAGGAGCGTTATTAGATATCAGTTTTTTCATTTGGACACTTTTGACAACGGTATTTCCTTTTCGATGAAAGAATGACCATATCAAACTGAACAAATTACTCTTGAACAATTTTAATATCCCCCTCGTAAAATGAAGATAACATTGAACTTGTATTCTTGTTTACTGCCTTCTTCTTCCAGTCATTGTCAAGATGTAAGAGTAGGACGATTAGAAATATATGCCCTCAAAGGTGAAGCATTCGAAATGACACATGAAAAAAATGCTAGGTCTTTAAAATAGTGATGAAGAAAATGTAAAATGAATTCCTTTGTTTCACAGATAAAGGCAGCTAACATTTCGTGGATTGAAACTAACAAAGCACTATGCAATTCTATTTTTTGTTTATCAATGAAACCTGCGATTAAGATATTGATTTTGCTTTGCCTGAAAACACAACGGTAGTGATCTTTCTTACATCACGACGTAGTACTGTACACTATAAAATGACGTTTTACGTATAATTTCAGAATTTTAGCAACGGAACCTCGTGTAATTTCTTTATGAAATCAGATATTTTCCTTGGAAATATTAAAACCGTCAAGATTTGGCTTGGAGGAAATATCAAATCGCAATCATGGTACTTGAGCAAAATTATCATAATAGACGAAAAGACGAGAAATGCGTAAGTATAATGTTCTGGCTGTTGTAAATTTGGTATCATCAGTTACAATTGTAACGGTATCATGTCCCCTTCTTCTAAATGACTCAACTTTTTAATAATATAAACAAGGTTCAAAACTTTAAGGCTCTCATTAATTGTTGTGATTATTTCCTACGAAAACAAATTCATTGTTAATGACTGGCGAGATAACACCAAAAGTCTGAGCTTGTTGGAATTCTTATTTCCATCGGTATATCTTGTATCATTTATCAATTCATTCTACTTAGGATTCAGCTGAAATGCAACAAATGGCTGTCACTTGAAAAAGGCACAGGTCGGTCCTGGCGAACATTACGAGCCGGAAAGAAAACTGACAACGCGAGCAGCCTTTCAGAAATCAGTACACGGAATTTATTTGATGATCATCTGTGGTTTTCACTGCTATTCCGTCCAAGGTACAGCAGATTTACCAGGGTACAGAGGCTGTGGAGCATAGTATCACTACTGTTCCTTTCAATGGTTGCCTCAGCGATGTTTTATGATACACCAGACGATACGCTTCCTTTTTTAAACGTGGGAAACTTCGAACTAGGGTACAAGGAAATATACACTGGGTTGATGTCCAGTATCATAACGGTTGTACCATCTTTGATTATAACCTTCGTGTTCAGCAAAAGAAAAGTTCTTGGGGAGAAACCTTTGAGCATCTCAAATAACGGTGACACTGTTGGTTCCTCTGGAAGTCTACCCTGGTGGTCAATATTCCTAGCATACACATTACTGTTGCTATGCATCATTTCAGGTTCATTTTTTACACTTTTGTACTCATTGGAATGGGGACCTTCCCTCACTGTGAAATGGATGTCTTCGTTTTTTCTTGGATCAACACAAAGTGCCATCATAATCGACCCTGCAAAGGTAAGGGGATTTATATTTAGATTTTGCAACAAAATGTTTATAACAAATCGCTTCATTTTAAGAATACTATTTTTTTTCTTTAGCTTATACTTTCTTACGAACTTACGAAAGGAGTAACAGCGACTATGTGATTCGGATTTGCAAGCGCGATTCTTAAACAAACAACACTCTCTTACTCTACAATATATCAGTCTACAGTGTCTAAGCTTACAGTCACTCAGACTGTAGTCACTTAGTCTACAGTCTCTAAATCTACAATATCTTAGTCGCGGTCACTTAGACTGTAGTCACTTAGACTGTAGTCACTCAGACTGTAGTCACTTAGTCTCCAGTCTCTAAATCTACAGTATCTTAGTCTGCAATATCTAAGCCTGGAGTAACTTAGACTGTAGTCACTTAGTCTACAAAATCTAAGTCTAAAATATATTAGTCTACAGTTTTTAAGTCTGCAGTCTCTAAGCTAACAGTCACTTAGATTGTAATCATTTAGTCTACAGTATCTTAATCTACAATATCTTAGTATAAAGTCTGCGGTCTCTAAGCTAACAGTCACTTAGACTGAAGTCACTTAGTCTACAATCTCTAAGTCTACAGTGTCTTAATCTACAGTCGTAAAGACTTGGTTGCTTGGGGGTTTTAACAACTTCTGTTTTTTTATTTGAATTGTGCTTTATATTCGTACTTGTATCATTGTATAACTTCTAAAATGCATTATTGATCCTAATAAATGTCCCCCCAGAATCATTTGGTATGAATTGCTGTATGTATGACTAATGATCAATCAAATTCTGATTAGGAATAATATTAACGTTTTCAAAGATCATAACAGAGATGTAAATTTACTCTGAACTGTCCTTTGACTGACGTGATAGCGTCATAATTTTTTATGATATATGTAAATTGTTATATGTAATGTTGATTAGTATGTCCCCCTAACGAAGTGGGGGGACATATTGTGTTTACTCCGTTTCTCCTTATTTTTCTTCTTCTTCTTCTTAGAGATTTCTTTAGAAATTGTTTTATGCTCAAATTTAGTATATACATTGTTGGTGTATTACATGGCATTGCGATTTTTTTCTTTTGCTTTTCTTTTGGCAGTTTGGGGGACCTCTGTAATGGTCCCCCATTACCATTAATTACTACTTGTTTTTAATGTCTTACGTATAAGGTCACCTGAGTCAAAGTCTCAAGTGACCTATTGCGATTGCCTTTTGTCCGGCGTCGGCCGTCGTGCGTCATGCGTCCTTAAACAATTTACATTTTGGACTTCTTCTCCAAAACACCTAAACCAATTTCAATGAAATTTTGCAGAAACCTTCCATGGACAATGGTCTACTCAAATTGTGAATTATATGGTCCACAGCCCCCAGGGCTTTTAATTGATTAAAATTTCAAAAATCTTCTTCTCAAGATCTAGATAGAGTATAATCAAATACTCTTCATATATTGAAGGGTCTTAAGGTGATTTACCAAAATTGTGAATTTCATGAACCTTGGGTCTCACGTTTCCCCTTGGGGAGGGGGTAAACGTTACTATAGCTTATATAGGGAAATCACATTTTGGACCAACATTTGTTTAGTTTACATTGGAATTAATTCAAACTTTGTTAGCAATATCAGCATTAGATAGAAGTTTGATTGTAAGCACATATCAGCCCTGACTGACCCCCAGGGGCTGATGGGTGGAGCCAGAAAGGGTTTATTGACTGGAATTTAAAAATCTTCTTCTCAAGACCCAGATATGTCAGAATCAAATACTCTTCATAGATGGAAGGGACTTAAGGTGATTTACCTAAATTGTGAATTTCATGACCCTGGGGTCTCACGTTTCCCCCTGGGGAGGGGATAAACTTTATTATAGTTTATATATGGAAATCACATTTTGACCCAACATTTGTTTAATTTCCATTGGAATTAATCCAAACTTGATTAGCATTATCAGTATTGGATAGAGTTTGATGGTATGCACATATCAGCCCTGACTGACCCCCAGGGGCTGGTGGGTGGGGCCAGAAGGGTTGAATTGACTGAAATTTTAAACCTTCTTATCTACACCCAAATATGGTAATATCAAATACTCTTCATAGACGGAAGGGGCTGAAGGTGCATTACCAAAATTGTGAATTTCATGACCCTGGGATCTCACGTTCCCTTCTGGGGAGGGGGACAACTTTACTATAGTTTATATAGGGAAATCACATTTTGGACCAACATTTGTTTAATTTCCATTGGAATTAATTCAATAGGGTTAGAATTATTAGCATTAGATAGAATATTGATTGTATGCACATATCAGCCCTGACTGACCCCCAGGGGCTGATGGGTGGGGCCAAAAAGGGTTGAATTCACTGAAATTTCTAAAATCTTCTTCTCAAGACCCAGATATGGTAGAATCAAATACTCTTCATAGATGAAAGGGTATTAGGGTGCTTTACCAAACTTGTGAATTTCATGACCCTGGGATCCTACGTTTCCCCCTGGGGAGGGGGAAAACTTTACTATAGTTTATATAGGGAAATCACAATTTGGACCAGCATTTGTTTAATATCCATTGGAATTAATTAAAATTTGGTTAGCATTATCAGTATTTTATAGCAGTTTCATTGTATGCACATATCAGCCCTGACTGACCCCGAGGGGCTGATGGGTGGGGCCAAAAAGGGTTGAATTGACTGAAATTTCAAAAATCTTCTTCTCAAGACCTCGATATGGTAGAATCAAATACTCTTCATAGATGGAAGGATCTTAAGGTGCTTTACCAAAATTGTGAATTTCCTGATCCTTGAGTCTCATGTTTCCCCCTCGGGAGGGGGTAAACTTTACTTTTGTTTATTTGTGAATTATATGGTGCCCAGCTCCCAGCAGCCTGACGGGCGGGGCCAAAAAGGGTAAAATTGACTAAACTTTCAAAAATCTTATTCTCAAGATCCAGATATGGTAGAATCAAATACCTTTCATAGATGGAAGTGTCTTAAGGTGCTTTACCATAATTCAGCTGCCTGACAGAACCACTATTTGTACATAGTACCTATACTACCCAGATCTTTCACACTGCTTTTGCATTACATGTAGTTCAAGTTACTTTTGCTACAAAATAATTTCTTTTACATTTTGCAACATCGATAACATCAGTTTTTACATAACTCAGGTGACCGTTAAGACCCATGGGCCTCTTGTTATTTATACGCGGAAATTCGCTTTCAGTGTCGTGTACTGTGAACCCGCTCTTTGTAAGTTTGAATAAAAGCGAGTGTTGTGTACGAGTCACGTGATGTGTTTTAAACCTGCCATCCGTAATCAGATGTCTTGTCTATTTTTACTGTTGTCATTGTCTAATTTTTATTTTTGGCGCGTTGTGGTTAGTTTTGAACAGCGCGGTCAAAGACTAAACGGGAAATGAAATAGATGGCTGTTCATGTACATACATATAATGCCGCCATGTTATTTGTATGAAAATGCGATTGTATGTAACCCCTTTTCATGTAGAAGAGGGTATATTTATTATTAGGCTATTCCGATAATAAACTCATTAAACGTACCTTTGGAGATGTAGGAAATGTGTCTGTATAACTAAGCCGGATATACTATACTTCCCCTGCTACGTTACAAGCTGGATTTGCCAATTCCTCCACAGATCCACAAACCAATCAATATGTTGTGATGTAAAACTCAAACGGATCTGTTTGTATAAGCAAATCACTATATTTAAAAATTTGAAGCAAAATACCGTCAAATTCAGATATTTATCAAAGTATATTTCTTTAAGTAAATTTCAGTGTTGTTGATTGACCATGTGTCCAAATAGCAACATCTATCTGGTTTCTAGTTAAAACACTTTTCGAGCTTAATGATAATATCATAAAAATCACACCTAGTCCCATCTCATTATTTTTTCCATTTGTATGACTTTAGTTTTATCATATACTTTCGAAACTTCTTTATTGTGGTTTTCGATACTACTGATTAAAATGCGGAGTTAGTTTTATTTTTATCATCTTATATACGTTAGTCCATAAATTATAAACGGAGGTAATTTCGATTACATTTCACCATCAGAGTTGATACGTGTTTAACACAATGAAAACCAGACATATGGCTAACTGTTCTGGCTATATATTTCGTCGTACTATTTTAGGCAATCATACTCGCAATCCTTCTAGTTTGTCTCTGTTCAGAGAAGAACAATCGAAGTGATTTTTACCTCCCGCCGACCTCTGTAGTAGACAAACAACAAGAGTTCGCCGGTCAAGGTAAGTAAAAACATTTTTATGGCGATGTATAAATAATAAAAACGATTCAACATTTTCATTTCTCAGGAAAATATTTCTATATCATTTAAGCGACGATATCAAAGACACTGTTCTATTATCGTAAATAGTAGATTTGTACCTTGTCAATACGTCTGAACGTCCGGAACGTTTTGACTTGAGCAAATGTTAATGCATATCACTAATCAATTGAATATAGAAATGTTTTGTGATTCATAGCGTTCTGAAACAAATATGTTTTAAAGGACACTGTAACAGACGAGTAGCAGACTGTCCGTGTGATGAACCAGAAACCAGAGCCCAGAAAAAGCGTCGTTACACGCTACACATGGATCGGAAACTAAACAGATTACTGAGGAGATTCGTATTTGGGGTTTTATATGCTTGCATGGTTTTGCTCATTGGTACACAGCAGAAAGTTTCCGAAGTGTATGGGCAAAACAAGCACTTGAAAAACGTTTTGAAACCTACACAAGAGGTACACTAACTGTATCTACATCTATTTTATTTTTTTGTAACAATTTGTGTTTTGATCTCAAAATTAATTTGATTATTTTATTATCCAATGAGTTAAAACTTGAAATACTAATTACAATATACAGGTTAAAAAGATACAATTAATTTATGAAGAAATATAATAAAGTTTAAAGCAAGCACTTTTAATCACAACAATAATTAGTGGTATCAAAAAAATCCCACATATATACATATTGTACTTTCTTAAACATTGTGACAATAGCTAAGCAATTATCTATGATTTCTGTTGCAGGTGGAACAAATGGAAGATGTCTGGCAATACCTGAACAAAGTAGTATTGCAACGTTTGTACCCTTCGGAGTTTTCCAGTGGTGAAATAAAATCATTGAATGAGCTGAGATTTATTGGAGACTACTATAAAATGGGGCCCATACGCCTTCGCCAAATTCGAGTAACGGGTAGGGATGACAACAACAAAATTTAAGTTAATATGGAGAAAATTCATTTTTATCTTAAACACGTGTCACGTGACGTAGATAAGTACGCATGTTAAGTAACAAACAGAAAATAAATTGTGGTGAAATGTAATGTATATAAACACGGGTGACGGGTAACGTAAACATAAATGGGTGAGAGGTAACGTAAACAATACAGATGACAGGTAACGTAGATAAATACGGTTGTAGGGTAACGTAGATAAACACGAGTGAAAGGTAAAGTAAATAAAATCGCGTGTCAGGAAATGTTAACAAATACGGCTGTCTGGGTAAAGTAGATACGTACTAATGACAAGTAACGTAGACCACACGGATGTCAGGTAACTTAGATAAACACGGATGGCAGGTAACGTAGATTAACACGAACGTCAGCTAACGTAGATAATCACAGTGGTCATAAAACGAAGATAACACTGGTGTCAGGTAACGAAGATATAATCTGTTGACAGGAAATGTAGACCACACGGGTGCCAACTAATATAAATAAACACGAATGACAGGTAACGAAGATAAACATGAACTACAGGTAACGAAGATAAACACGAACGTCAGAAACTCAAACGTTTGTATTGACTTGCCCACATTCAACCTTTGATAGGACCAACGCCTCTCGACCTGTACTCTGACTCAAAGGCACTTGATCTTTATTCAGATTTAATGACACTCCACCCCTTTTGAAGCTACCTTGCATTCGACCCCTTTTTGTATATACGTCACTCGATTCTTATTCTGTCTCATTCATTATTTTGACTCTTAAATGACATCCGATCTTTTTGACACAATTATTAATAGTTCCACTATTTTGGACTTTGTCAATAACACAGATTACAGTATTCAGTTATTTATTGACACATGGCCACTGTTCTGTCTCAACGCTTGAATTGATTTACTCATTGACACGTGTCCTCTGTTCTGACTCTGTTACTTGACGCTTTTATCGACTTGCTCATTGGAACTCGTCTTTTGTTTTGACTTGGTCATTGACACTCGACGCTTCGATTGACTAACTTTATGATACCCAACGCTTCGTTTGACTCACTAGATAATACTCGACACTTCATTTGACTCACTTATTGATACTCAACACTTTGTTTGATTCCCTCAATGATAATCGACTCTTCGTTTGACTCACTAATTTATACTCGACACTTCGTTTGACTCTCTTAATGAAACTGGACGCTTTGTTTGAATCACTTGATGATACTAGACATCTCTCCAGATTCAATGCTGTCATAGTCAAAATTCTAGCATTTCTAAACGAAGATCTTTTTAACGACACATATTACTTTTTTTCAAATTGAAGGCACTTGTACCACTCCATCATTGATGAAGAAACACGGCATAGCTTGTATTCCTGACTACGATACGGATACCGAAGACACTAATGACTACACCGAAGGTGTGGAAATAACAAAATATATTACTTTATATACCTTATTTTGTCTGTGCTGTTTCGCGAAGATATTTTTTTTCGCGTTGGTTCTACAAAAAAAAGGACAAGTATTAATGCACTTTTCAGCATTGTTTTACCTGCAAAAACGCAAAACTAACAGCAACATATGTTTCAAAAATGTATACTGTGTCTTCACATGACACTGTTATTGCATGCCTCTTTAAAAGACAATTGGTCTAGTGAATTTACATTGTGGCAATGACGTCGCGTTTGTACCCTTACAACCGCACGGCAACATCGACGGCAGCATCATAACTGTTGAGTTCTATCAAATTTGCATAAATGGTAGGATTTTTATAATAATTAATCTTAGACTCCTATTCCTTGATCAAAATAAAGTTCCAAGTTAGGTGATTGGTTAATGGTTGTTCATCACTGTCCATCGCCATTGAAAAGTATGCTATGCCGTTCTTGGATTAATATCTGTCGTTTCGTACAGGTGATTTTGCTATCACCCCTTTATCTATTATATAATATTACGCAATTGAGGATTTCCATTTTGTCATAATTACATAATTGTATATTCAATTAATGTAATTGTTTACCTTATTGATTTTAGAACTTGATACGTTCCCGATATACTAGACGAACTTTAAAGTTTTATTTTGTGGGAATGCAAATCTAAGGATTATTTTGTTGTAGGATTTGTTGTTGACGATGTCTTAAAGACAAAGTTGAGTTCTAATGAATGATTATACAGTTTCATATTATAAATAGTGGGATCAAATATCTCGATGACATTGCTAATTGTACTTATTCATAATTACAAATATGTTGCTGCAGGTTGGATCACAACGAATATGTCTGCTTCATTGAATGACTACACAGCGTCGTATCGATACCATCACAACCTCAAAGAAACGCCCACTTACACTGGACATTTCGGAACATATGGTGTCGGTGGCTATCTCGTTGATTTGGATGTTTTGCCCACTAAGGCCAACGATATTGTTAATAGATTGCGAAGGAATGTTTGGCTTGATGAACAAACACGTGCCTTTTTCATTGAAGCATGCCTCGTTAACAGAAACAACATGATTTTTACTCATATTCAAGTCGTATTCGAATTCCCAAGCACAGGTGGAATATTCACAGACACAACCGTTGTCTCATCCAATCTCTATCCGTACACACACACGTTTGACTACATCATTCTGTTCCTTCAGATATTGTTTTCATTTACCATCTTGGTGCGGTTCGTGTTGGTGGTTGCAAAGATTATAAAAACACAAGGTCACTCCCTTTTAACAATGAGTCAAGCCATCGAAATTGTTCATCTAGGAGTCTCCGTGGCTACTGTTGTTTGCCTTGTCCTCAGATTCACCAGCACAATAGCCGTTCTTAACACTCTCCGACAGGAAATGGGTAAGTGATACTATAAGGGTCATCTTTGAGGATAACTGTAACAAGAATTGTACGTCTGGTATGTTTATATCTATGTGGGTGGATATATAGCTTCTTATAACTTTACTAGAAGTAAAACGTAAAACAGATATATAATGACGCAACATTTGGAAATTTCTTGCATTAAAGACAGTTCAATGTTATTGAATATCCATGTTCGAAGTGTTTTGAAATAAATGTAGAAAAAAGTAGAAGATTAATATTGTTACACATTGACAACTTTTAGCTGCAACAGACCCAAAAAGATCAATCTTTTCTTCAAATGTCATTTCATGTGAAGCGTTTTGGATTAATTTCAGCTATAAAGATATATCTTTTGAAGTAACATCTCACTAGGATACGACGTATAAGTCCTTTCAATTATCTTTGACAGGTTTCTACACATCCTTTGGGTATGTCTTTCAATGGGATGGATATTTCTCTTTATCCTTGGGTATGGTAACGTTCCTTGCTATCCTGGACCTGCTGAAACATCTGCAATTCAATTACCAGATCTTCTTGGCGTACAAGACAATCACAGCGTTTCGCAGAGAGCTTTTTAATTTTACATTAGCTCTATCAGTTCTTATTGTTGGTTTCGCATCTTTGATTAATCTGATATATGGTCCCACGGAAAGGGGTTTCAGAAGCATTATATCCGCAATACTGACTCTGTTTCGTATGACAATCGGAATGATCAAATTCCGCAATGACATAGATGTGCCAGCACTAGATATATTTGTCATGTTTGCAATATACGCCTTAGTCACTACGCTTGCATTTGTTAATCTTTTAACAAGTTCGCTGAATGCTCACATCACACATATCAAGCAGTTGATTAGAGACGGGAAGACACCGTTCGACTGGTATCTCAGTCGACACTTCTGGAATCGTCTGACAGGTTTATTCACCGTATGTGGTGTTGCAAGACCACGCAATAGAAGAAAGAAAGGTTTGTTGAGCTTTCGAATATATTTAGATCCATGGTTTAAGTTTCTTTTATGATCTCATTAATATGTAATTATAATTTTTAGTATCTTGATTTGTCTGTTCTCAGCTGGAAATTTAGTATTGATATTCACAGCTTTGGAAGTCTATAAAGTGCTTTGCGACAAGAAATTGTTATCGTCTTGTTGATTTATTGATCTCACAAC